ATTCAACCACTGCTAATAAAAATAGCATTTACGCTGAAACCGGTTTGGCTCAGTGGATAGAGTATCGGCCTGCGGACAGAAAGGTCCCAGGTTTGATTCTGGCCAAGGGCATGTACCTGGGTTGTGGGCACATCCCCAGTAGGAGATGTGCAGGAGGCAGCTGATTGATGTTTCTCTCTCATCGATGTTTCTAACTATCTCTCTCCCTTCCTCTCTGTAAAAAATCAATAAAATATATTAAAAAAATAGCATTTATTTTACATGTATTTAAGGATATTTCAATCAGAAAAAGTTCAGTAAATAATAAATTTTCCTGTAACCAGTAGCTATGTAAGCATATATTAACATTTAATCTTATATATTATAGATATGGTTGAAGTGTACTATGTCCATCTCTCCAATCCTATTTCCCTTCTTCTCTACCTGTCCATTAAGTAACCAATGTCACTAAGTTGGAACATATTTTTCCCCACCCATTTTTATATATAACTAGTGACCCGGTGCACAGATTTGTGCACATCGAAAGGAAATTAATTAGAAGGTGGCCAGCGGGACTGGACAAGATGGGCCAAACATGCCCTGAAACCAACCTCCCACAGTTCCTCCCCGGTGTCTGCAGAGTGAGGGGGTCCCTCCAGCAGGCGGGGTCCCTTGGCCTGGCCTGTGGGGATTGGGCCAAAACAGGCTCTCTGACATACCCCGAGGGGTCCGGGATTGGGAGAGAGTGCAGGCCAGGCCAAGGGACCCCACTGATGCACAAATCCGTGCACCAGGCCTCTAGTCAATTAATAAAAACATAGTAGTCACTAATCAATGAGGCTTTATGAAGCTATAAGCAGCTTTGAGCAAGTGTGCTTATGCAATTAAGTGTTAATTCCTTCTTCTCTTTATGCCACAAACACTTAGGAAGAAAAGTAGATCACACTTTTGTGTAATTCTGTCAAGAGTGTACTGAATGAATTTAGATGAGAAGATGCTAATGAGGGAGCAAGAAGGCAAGTCATTTTTTAGTAATATAAATCTTCTTGACACACTGCTACTTGTATTTATATCCACTCAATACTCCACAGTAGTAGCCAACAGAGAAGTATAATTAAGCTAATTAAATTATTATTTTTTCAGATCTTATCAGTTAAATTCTAATGTTTCCTTTCCATTGGCAGGGTTAAAGAGGAAGTTAGTGGACACCTTGAAAACATATGGAAATAGTTATATTCCATTTTACATCATTGTATGTGTGTTGGGTGAACTAATTTTTCAGTTCATGGAAATAATACTTACCCCCAACCTTTCTCAACCCCTGCCAAACTGAAGGGAGAAAAAAAATGGATCGAAAGCAGAATCATTCCTAATAAACTGCATGTTTTGTTTTAGTTGAGCTTCAGAAAATTACTGACTTGACCTAGAGAACAAACTCTATCTTTTCACAGGCAATCTTTAAAAAGGAGCATTCCTGCGGATCCCGCCCGAAAGCTCACCTCTCTTCCACAAAGGACACCTCTATGTCACCAGTCATTAAAACGACCATTCTACCTTCAATTGGAATAAATATTTAAATAACTTTTCTTTTCTACCAAGGTACAATAGTGGCTTAAATAACCGGTTTGTGAACCACAAAGCTATTGGCAAATGAGATTTGCACTAATTACATACTGAAGAAACTCCCCATTCTGTAATGACTTTCATGTTAATTATTATCCTGATTTTGTATCTGGCTGACAACCAAAAACAACTGTGATCTGTTCCTGGACTATTCCAAGAATGAATAGCAGCCTTTGACAAACATCCTATTTCTGTAAACAATGCAAACCATATACATGCAGAGTTCCGCAATGATTCCAAGTTTAGCTGCCTGCTGTGGATCCTAGACAAATGGCTCACTTGGATTGCTGTTCACAGTGTGGTGAATGAATGGAATTAGCCCTCTGAGAGGAAGCTAACTAGAAAGTTTCTCGAATGCAATGTAAAAGTTAATTGTGCCAAAAGGCCCTAATTGAGAGGGAGTTGAGGAAATGTTACTTAAAGGTCAAAAATCAGCCCCCTCTCCCAAATTAAACGTTTAGGTGAAAGAGTTTCACAAATAAGTTAGGATGTTCTGTTTTACAAAAATTATTGAAAGAACAAAGGTTATAAAGGAGAAAAATTTTAAAAAGAAAATAACAATAGTTTTACCCAGAAATGTGATAAGATGTATTCTGCAGTTAATGTTACTTCTGTTCAAAATGTTATATGTATTGGGGATAAATTTGTTAGTTCCACAATTACAAATTTACATTATTTACTATAAACTTACACACTGACTTAAAAGGATAGAATGGCCAGAACCGGTTTGGCTCAGTGGATAGAGCATCGGCCTGTGGACTGAAGGGTCCCAGGTTCGATTCCGGTCAAGGGCATGTGCCTTGGTTGCGGGCACATCCCCAGTGGGGGGCATGCAGGAGGTGGCTGATCGGTGTTTCTCTCTCATCGATGTTTCTAACTTTCTGTTCCTCTCCCTTCCTTTCTGTAGAAAATCAATGAAACATATTTAAAAAAAAAGGATAGAATGAAGATAATCCCCAATGTTCTTTCCTCACCTCATTAAAAACAAGATATCCGTACCATTTTAACAATAATTTGCATTTAGAAGGACTTTCACATTTATAAGGCCCCTTACATGCAGTGTTTTCAACATAAAATACTAACAACAGAGCAATACTGGTAGAGGATAGTCACAGTGTTGTTGTTTTTTCCCTCAACAAACACTTAACACAACTGAGCATTTGTTATTTCCAAGGACAGGACTAGATGCTTGGGAGGTGAGAATCAACATGTATCCCCACCTCAAGGAGCAGAGCTACTAAGTCCAGTAGGAGAGGCGAAATAAGTGCATAAATGTTTAGGATACTAGAGAGGACTTACTTGAAAGCAGACAGAATTGTACAAACAGATTATGTTGCTCAACTATTTTTCCTCTCACCCACCTGTGCTTGCCAAGTGGTGTTTGTGACCTATACCAGGAAGCTCTCTGGAGGATTCTCCCATTCTGCTACAGAGCCTCCTCCCAATAGAGCAGAAACTCACAAATAAGAGGCACAAAAGGAATTTCCACTTTCCTGGCTATTAATGCATGTAACAACTCATGTTTAAATTCTTTACCTTAGACAAATACAGAGATGGTGGTGATTTCATCTTTTCATGTCTAGAACATAAAGTTACACTTTAAAAGTTTTATGTCCTCTGGCCCAAATGAAGTGCTCAGGGAGAGAAAGACACACCTTACACAGAAATCGTTAGAATTTCACAAATGTATTATGAGACTGAATTAGCTTCTGGTATTTAGGAAGCTTTGATCTTTTCTTTTTCCCCTCACATTTTCTCATATAACCCAGGTTCTGACAGTGTTGGTAGGCAATTCCTCTTTCAGGTTTAATGCTTCAGTCTACTCCCTGACTCATGACTTCAGTAGGTTTCAGGAAATTCAGCAGCATGCACCCTTTTTATTATGATGTAAATCAATGTAATGCCATGTAATGACAATGTTCATGACACTTTCAATGCTTGTCAAGTGACAAAAATTGTTTTTAGTGACACCACTATAACAATTCTATTATGTTCATAATGAGTTCATACTATTCAATTTCCTTTACAGTATAAATTATGTAATAATTAGACTTGCTTATGAAGTGTGAACACAGTATCCACATAGTGGCACTTTCCAGGACTTTGAATAAACCAAATCCCAAATCAGCTAACATATTTTAGATTTTGCATAATATCAAATGGGACAAAATTGACATGCACCTACAAAATATTGTTCACAGAAAGGAGGAATAAAATTTAGGTGGCAATGTGTGTGTACCAGAGTAGATCACACACACACAAAATAAAAGCTTAAGCAAACAACAAAGTTTAAAAGGTATGCTCTGCATATTCAGATTTTACTGATAAACACACACAGACACACACACACACACACATACACACACCATATGAAAATTAATTATAGTTCCCTTGGAAACTTTGCCCCTGTTCCTGCCCATACTGGGGCACAAGCTCTGAGAAGGATTTGAATGTCCATCATAGAGAGGATGGGAATGACAAAAGCAATAAGAGGTGGCCTGTGAGTGGCTTGGGAAGCTAATTTACTCAATGTCTGCAAGAGAAGTTTATGAGACAAATATGCAAACACATTCTTTCAGGAGGACTATAAGGAGGCAGAGCAGAGGAGGCAGAAATAAAGACACGTATACTTGCTAAGGCATTCTCTTCTGTGATCCTACCATTTTATGATTGAACAAGAAATCCATGGTCTTGTGCACACAGCATCCTCTAATTACAATGTGAGTCCTTCTGAGCACAAGGTCAGCACCATGAAGAGCCACATTTAGAACCTTCTGAAGTCACCAATCCAATTCTCACACAAAGTACAATTACCAACCATAGTTTGATTTGCAAGCAAAAGGAACCTGCATCTTGACCTCTCCTGTCAATGATACTGCTTGTTTTCACTTAAGAGATCATTTTTCTAGACTTTTCCCCCTCAAAACCACCACCAGAGAAACAAACTTTCATAAAATAAATATGACTAACACTTTGAAGTAAAAATATCCACAAAGAAGCTAGGATTGGAAGATGGTGGAATTTCCATTGATCCATAAAACAACTTGGGCTTTAAATATAAACCTCCTTTTTTCTTCACTCATTTAAATTATTACCATTTCATGTTTGGACTGGCTGGCAAAACATCAGTTATTTTCATGTGAATCCTCCACATGCTGCCCCAAACAAACTTGAACGCTTGAGTAAGAAGTTTGAAGCTTGCCAGACTCAGAGAAAGTCAGTAAGGTGTCCCGTACAGTCTGTCCACAGCCCTACCACTTTGCTTCCCTCTCCTTCTCACAGATACGAGAAAATACCATCCAATCCTCTTCAGATTTGCTAAAACCAACAACCATGGCAAGTGAGAAAAAGCAATTGAACTTCTGTGTTTCTAAGAATACATAGGAGAGACACTGTACCGGGTCTTCAGTTCTGTGACTATTCAGGAGGTCAGACAGGAAATCTTCATAATATTGCACTCTTCCAACCAGTGGATATTCCCTCAGGAAAACAAGCCCTTCATGTTGGTCTCCGCATACCTAGAGAGATAAGATAGCTGAGTTAAGCCTTTAGACAGAGCCTGGAGGGAGGGGGCACAGAGGAATTAATGTCTCTGAGTTGTAGAAACTTCTTGGATTCATTTCAAGTCTGATTAGAGCAATCAAAAACAACGCGTGCAAATACATATTAATGTGATAGCCACTAAAAAATTCTGACATGTGGCTAAGCCTTGATTGAATGCCAGAAAGTCCCCTGCTAAGTTGGTGCCTCTTAATTGACTGGTGCACATGGTGATTATAGCTTATCTTTGTGGCCAGCTCCAGTGTGGTCAGGCTCCTAGACTCATTCCACTGGGTTACTCATCTGTATGTTTGTGTCACATCAGGGTCTTGGATCCACAGGGATCTATTCCTAGCCCCATAGATCTGAGTCCCACCGATTTGAGCATCAGGTGGATCCTGATGTCCTATTAAATATCTAGGACAGGATATGTGGGATAGGAGCTGGCCTGAGCCCAGGACTGACTTCCTGAGTTAATCAAGTGCTTTAGAACCAAGATGCACTTGAGCTACTCTGGAGGGAGGTACTGGAGAACTTTTATCTAGAGCTTATCACATACCAGGTTCTTTACACTTGCTATCTTGCACCAGCCCCAGGAGGTGTCGGTTATTAGCCACACTTTACAAATTAGGAACTGGAGGCACAACGGGTTTCGGGAATCTGCCAAGTTAGTAAGTGTTGAAATCAGGACTCAAATACAGGACTGACTCTAAAACCCTTTTCTTTTAATTATATCGCTTTACTACTGAACTACTCAGACCTCCTCTGGTGTAGGATAAACTATTAAATAACTCCTATAAATTCAAAGAATAATCAATTCACCCAGGACTGATATCAGCATTATTGGATTGCTGAAAAAATATGAAATAATATATGCAAAGTACTTAGTGAAGTGACTCGCATATAGTAAGCATTCAATAAACAGCCATCATTAACAAAAGCACATGCTGCTCAAGGAAAAATCTACACATTTAACATACATGAAGTACTTGGATATTTACATTTGTAATAGACATTATAAATGGGTATTATATTACCTTCACATTATCTTTATATTGTTTTAACTTTCAACTTTTATACATTTTTAATTTTATAACTTTATATGGTACTAGTGGCCCAGTGCATGAAATTCGTGCATGGAAGGGGTGTCCCTCAGCCCGACCTGCACCCTCTCCAATCTGGGACCCTTGGGGATTGGGCCTAAACCAGCAGTCAGACATCCCTCTTGCAATCCAGGACTAGATCACCCCTAACCACTGCCAGCCTGATCACCCCTAACCACTCTG